GCTACACAAGCCACTGGAAGCCTGGAGGGCCTATAGCATGGTGTATTTCTACTCGCCATTGCTGAATATTCATGGGATCTCTATGTTAAACCTTTTTGACCATTATAAAAGTCTTTGAGAATACAATCACAGCAGATGATTAGAACCCGCTATTCATATAGGATAACCAAGTTTTAGCATTTATCTTAGCAGAGAAGATGAAATGCTTCATTGGGCTGCTTAACAATGATACCTGCTTGGTATGCTTAATTTAAACCGGGGTTAGTTACACACCTTTTATTCTACTTGAAGAAAAAACAAACAAACAACACAAATACAAGAAACAAAAACAAAAAACATAACTGTTGAATAGATTTTAAAACAATCAGCATAAGGTAATGGCAGATGTTAAATAACCATATAATGGCAGTAACACATTTATTGATGATATAGCTAACAAGAAATTGTTTAAGGCTACAGAGGTTTTAAAGTCTAGAATGACAGTGGATTACACCTACACTACACAAGCTGGTTAAATATTGGGTAAATTAGAAAACTTTCGGGGGTGGGGCCTGATGTCCAAAATGGCCTGATGTGCATTTCAGTAGCTCCTGCTGAATTGAGCAAAGCTTTAGCTTCCATGGCTCTGCTGGATGAAGCTGAATACCTCTTGCAGACGGACACTAAAGCGGACTGTAAATTACTGGCTCAATCTGCACTGCTCTGTCAAACACTTGTCTTGTCCGACATTGAGGCCTCGCAGATGGCCAACCTGGAAGTCGGGAGAGGCAGGAGGTCTCCTGACCCGGGGTACATGTCTCAAACCAACTTAGGCTTAAAAATGGGCAACCTGACGCTAATACCTTGAAGATAGATTGTCTTTCTTCTGTTCATGTAACCTTCATCGCATATCTTCTTATTACTCCACTTATACTGCACTTAAAATGTAGCAGTATATGCTTTACTTTACCACTGTATGTTTCTGCTGTGCTACAATAAAAATTATGTGTAAACAACTTATATATTCTGATGCGTTGGTCGGTGGAATAATGTAGCACAGGTACGAGAATGATTAGCAAATATAATGGCTACTTGGATTGCCTAACTGCCTGTTCTTATTTAACATAAAATCCCTCAGTAGACGACGGGTGCCAATGGTTTATTAAGGAATGGGCTTGTAATGCTTATGTTGACTTGTATTCTCTTGCTTGGTCTCTTTCCTCCCGCGTAGCTCAGTGCTTATCTGGGAGAAGGGACTGTCTCATTTCCTCCCAGAGCTGGCCCCCTTAGTGTACAGGCCCTGGTGCAGCTGCACTGGTGGTAGTTCAGCCACCGGCTAGGGCTGCATAAACAGAAACAAAAGTGATTTAAATCCTAAATGACAAAATTGAGCAGTGAGGCATTAAACACTAAAACTGCTTCATTAAATGAACACTATAGTGTAAGCAATACAATCACATATTCCTGACACTATAGCTCTAAGATTATCATTTAGCTAGCCGGCCCCGCTCTCCCTGCAGTGAAAAGGTGATTTTTACCTTTTTTCCAACGCACTGCGGATCTGTCGCGGCTGGTCACGCCAACGCTCCGCCTCCTTGGCTGGGTTCATCCAAATTGATGGTCTCAGCCAATCCAATGCTCCAACAGCAAGCAACTGATAAAATGGAAGCAATGTCCAACTATACCCAAAACATCTGATTTAAATGTGCATAAAAGAACATATCAAAGACCAGTCTTGATTTGGAACACAAAAGGTTAATGTTTACATTTCCTCTATCATCAATACACTAAATAGATACATTAAAAGAGGTCACACATGCAGGTAAGATCATTCCAAGATGGATCCATTTTGTTTACTGTTAAGTTTACAGTCTCAGAGTAGTGATATTGAGGTTGTGTGATTAAATCAAGCCTGATTTAAGGTAAATATCCATTTCTTAAATCATATGTGTTACTAGTATAAAAAAGTTGTAACATTTTTAATTTGTGATCCCACGGAAACACTTATGGAATACCAGCTGAAGTTCAGAAGTCAATATTATGACAATTCAGTGTAATTTAGATTTGAATCTGCAAAAAGGTACTGAGAGGGGTGGATAGACTTCTAAACTGGAAGATAAAGCTATACGTACAGAAGCAAATAAATACATTATTTAAATTTTTTTCCATAAAGATGACCTGTGCCTGCACAATTTAGGGTTGATGCTACACCTTAATAAGGAAAGAGGGAAACCTAACAGCCAAGCACTGCAAGTCAGCAAGTTTCACAGAAGCAGCAAAGCATTAGAAATACTTTACATAAAATTAAATGCTTGCTCCAAGAAGCTTGGCCCTCACTAACAGGGACAAGATCAGCACCAAAATCAATAAATCACTGTAGTGCTTATAGTGTCAGGAGTGCCCTGAAAATGTCCCCCCTTTTATAAGTAGTCAAACCATTTTCGTTACATGGGGTGCCACTCCCTGCTTCTTCTCTGAAGAATAGTTGGATGCCCCTGCTTTGTAACTTGTGTTAGCATACCGGAGTTAGGTCCTGCAGTGTTGGGCCAACTGATCACTCTCCGCCAATGAGTTAAGTCTTGTGGTGCTGGGCTCTGCTCAGACACAGAGCTTCTAGTTCTCTGAAGGCTGTACTGGTGGTGAGCAGGAGTGCCGGTGGACCCAGGTAAGAAGTCAAACCATTCTAAAGCATGCTGTAGTGGTTATGATACTTGGACTGTTCCTTTAATGTAGTGTTTTTGGTGAATAGACTCTGGCCCTGCACTCCTGACAAATCGAAACATTGCAAATGACGAGCCAATAGAGCCACTTCTTTGTGAAAACTTTCAATATCTGAAACATTTAACTTGGTGATTTAGATTTAGCTACCAAGCATTGTTAGATATCACAAAACTAGTCTCTAAATGTATGTTAATGTCTGTGGCTTCCAGGAGAGCCTTCTGGCTATACTTATGGGGAGCCTACTATGGAACAAAAAATAATTTGTGTACTATTCCATTCCAGGGAGATTTATTATTTGTGAAACCTCTCAATTAAGCAATAAAGAAGGTTATTGAAAGCAAGAAAGCTTACCTGGTGACAACACAGGTAAACACTCTTCTGACCCTAGAGAGACAACAAAAATAAAGAGGACAGATCCTTTCATGACTCCAGACAATATCGCCAAGGTAGGGATTATTACAGAAACTATTCCTGGAGATCTGTTCAGTTTGCTAGATCTAAAGGAAGAGGAGAGAAGAACACCTCAAATAATTTCTGAAGGTTCAAAGGTCCATATCAACGAAGGTGGAGGAAGATTAAAAACATTCTTTCAAAATAGTTACAGAACAAATTTCTCTTCAATTCTGTCTCCAAGGTTCGAGAAATCTCATGTATCATGTCTAAAGATAAATCCTATGAAGATTGCCATCATTGAACTCCTATCAAGCTAGGTCAGAGAGGAAGTTCAATCGAAAGAAGTACCACAACATATATTCTATAGTCTTCCAAGCTCCGGACCCCATGGGAAAGTGAAGATTAATTCTGGACTTGAAATCACTAATCAAATATCTAGCAGAGAAGATATTCAAGATGGAATCCATTCCTTTTACTGTAAAAGTAACAAAACCAGAAGACTAACAAAAATAGGTGTAAACAATGCATACTACCACATCCCTGTCATGTCTTCTCAGAAGAAGTTCCTAAAATTCTTTGTATTAGAAAAACGCTTCCAATTCCAAGACCTTCTGTAGCTCCAAAAACATTTTCAAACATCCTGGTTATTCCTGGAATCCAAACTTTACCTACCTAGATGATCTCCTTCTGGTAGCTGATCCATAGAGCAAATCAGTGGAGGTCAAAGTAATCAACATCTTAGCACTCCAAGGCTACATAAATCCCTCTAATTCAATTATATATCTGGTAGCAAGGATCGACATGGTTCAGATACAAATATCCCTATCTAAGAAATGTCAAAATACAATGATACAAAAAGTGAAAGTTAGGCTCAAGAGGAAATTGTATCCAGCCCAGAATATCATGAGTGCATTAGGCTCAATGACCTCATCCATACGTCTTGTACCATGGGCACATTGGCACCAGAGACCTACAGTGGAAGTTATTACCACAGTTTTGCCCAGAACGATCAACTGATTACAATCTCAAACATAACCAAGGCATCTGTCCAATGGTGGATGTTAGAGGAGAATATACAGAAGGGACATACAGGGAATATACAGAAGGGGAAACCCCTGGAAAAACCAAACTGGATAACAATTTTTACAGACGGCAGGGATGGGTGCTAACGTAAAATGTTCCTTACTGAAATGTTTTTATTACTATGTATCTGGACTCTCTTAGAAAAAAAAAAGATGTCTGCACCCATTAGACACAAGTGATTAGTCACTTAAAACAACAGCAGGTTGTTACCCATATCCCATCAATGCATCATTTTGGCTGCAAAATAATAATGCTTCCTGCCACAGACAATATTCTTCAGTTAAAGATTTTGTTCAGCTGTTTAAGTGTACATTCTAGCAATATCTTCCTAAGAACAAAATACTAATGGAAAACTCACAGCAAGGTAGATCACAACACATAAAAATATAGTGACATCTTTGAAATGGTAGGAAAAGTAAATGAATGTAAAATTGATATTGTAGGCTTTCCCCAAACAGAACAAAGGAGCATTTGCTGTAGTTGGCCAAGTGAATAAGGCAGAAGTACGAACCTCTGTTTCTTTCAGGTTCATGTTCATATCCCAGCTGAGACATTTCATCCATCTGCATGGTCTGATTTAAATCGCAACTTATAAAATTAATCGCTACTAGTCTGAATACTAAAATCATGTCAATAAATACAGTGTACTATGAATTAAGTCAGCCTGATAGGTGTTCATAACAGGGTTGTCAAGGCTCTCTTAGGCTTCGTCAGGGTCATGAAAACCATTGCTACACAGACATTTTCCACCAGAAACCACTCCCCTCTATATGTAGAACATCTCAGTTTTGTGTAGCTTTTGGACACGGATCTCCTAACAAGATGTTACGATACCTGTCCCTCGCGGTGCTGTGCTTTCACAGAAATGATGTATTGTCTGAGTTCTGATGCACACACTTTCTGGTGCCTTATTATGACATCATATATATGTGGACCCCTCCCATCAGTCTCCTTTTACAGTGTCAGCCCATGTGTTGCTTTTTGATGATGTGTACAAACTTATGATATCACGGTCCTCTGTGACCAATCACTACCCAGTATAGGGTATATATACTTCCTGGTTGTCCTTGTTTTCTTGCCCTGTCGTGGTTTTTGTTACCCGAGAGTGTGTTTATACCGTGTATTGGATTCCTATTTTCTGACCTTGGTTTGTTTGGCTATTGTTGCTCTCTGTTATCCTGATCTTGGACTGGCTATCAATTCTGTGTATTTCTGTAATATAAATTTCTGTGATATACTTTAAAATATAATATATAATATAAAAATATCATATAAAAAATATATCAAAATAATAAAATGTTTTTCAGAACATGAAATCAATTTAAAACTATTATCCAAAAAAATATTAAATCATTTAAAAAACTAACTGAGGCTAATGTTTTAATTTAATTGAGGCTAATGTTTTGTTTTGTTTTTGAAGCAGGAAAAGTTCCATTTTAGCATAAATGACTTGTAAGGGTTGACACATTCAAACAAACAAATAAGAATCAAAGAAACAATAATAAATCTTTTATTGACAACATTTTTTTCTTGAATACAAAAAAAAGAATAAAATACAGAACAATATTCAAAACTTGTTTTTTTGAAAACCTGATACGAGGCAGTGTCTGTTAATGGTTAAACACAAAGCATAAATAAAGTGCTGCAACACACTCTAGAATAAATGTGAGACTTGTTTTCCTTCTATTGTGATATAAGTAAATGATTTCCAGGAGCAATAACTACCGTGAGATCACCAAGGAGGTTAATGGTGCGACGAACGATGATAAAAAGCTTGGTACCATATTACAACCACACATAAATAGTTTTACTGTAGTACAAAGCGTCTCTATTCTCATAATTTTTGATGTTTCTGCACATTACATAGTTGAGTGTCATTACAGTGGCACCCTTTTATTTAACGTTGTTGCTTACTTTAACATCTGAAAGATACGAGCCATAAAGCTTGCAACCTCACAAGCAAACTGGCAGACTGTAGAACTTCAATGTTGTTCCACTGAACAACATATGGATTTTGGACGGTCTTCACATTCAAAGTCACCCCGTCCAGCATAATGACGCCAAGTGAGGTTTCTCATAGAAGAGTACTGGACTTAATATTTTTTCTATGAGCTTTATTTGATTGTCAGAGTGCGCCCATTGCCACACATGCACTGTAGGCCTCCAATTAGACCAGAGAGCATCATGACCGATGATCTCACAGTAGGTAGTTCTGGCTGCTACAAGGAGACTGTCTTGGTGCTGGATTACAGGTAGGTTTAATATATATTTTAAACTGTTTATTCGTACAAATGGGAGGCTCTAAATCTAAACCATCAGAGGAACACTAACATAATAAATGTAGTTTTAATGTTAAAGTGTTCCTTTGTTGTGCTGCAAAATATAGTACTACAAGTAGGACCACAGTGTGTCTAAGATGCCACAAATACAGCCCCAAGGATACAGCAGTTCTTGGGAAAAAAACCAAAACAAAACAGAAGCAAAAGAAAAGAAAGTAAATACAGTGGAACTTCAGAACTCGAACTTAACCTGTTCCAGAAGGCGGTTTAAGAACCGACTTGTTTGAAAACCGAATCAAAATTTTCCATAAGAATTAATGTAAATTAGATCAATCAGTTCCAGATCCCCATAACTACAGCATTTCTAAAACAAATTTTACAGTTTAATAATACTTTAAATGCATAAAATCATACAGAAATAAAATAAACACAATGTAAATGAAATGAAAATTTTACTTCACTTTACCTTTCAGCTCTGTTTGCTGACAGAATGGAGCTCTGTTCAGTTTGTCTAGTGCTAGGAGGCCGATGCATCATTGCAACGAGGTTCCAAAGAGGTACCAACAAGGTTAATGCCGTGTGATTTTGTTCTAGTACCGAGTTTTGTTCGGGTACCGAGACCTTTTTTTCTCAAATTTTATGTTTGAATACCGAATTAATGGGCCAATTTACTATGCAGTGCTTAGCAAAACATATTCAAAGAAATGGGAAAAGATGTATAATGGTTGAAAACAATACCATCCTGGGTTTCTGGAGACATTCATAAACCATTCAACCTTCCATCCATTGCGTGCTACAGATGAAAGTGCAGATGAAAGTGCACTAAATGAAAGTGCATTTATTGTGAAAAATTATCTTTTGATAATGTATATTAAAAAGATAGAAATGTTTATGGCCTTCTTGATTAAATTTATTTATTTTTAATTGAAAGAAGATTACAGACCGTTGTCTAAGCAGTGTATATCAGTAATCCAGATAGTTAGGTCAACTACTGTTTGTAAAATATGTAGTAGATAATTAAACAGAATGGTCTCAATTTAACAAAGTTGCACATGTTAATAACATATTCTGCAACATATAAAAATAGAATTTTCTCTGCCAGTTCCTATTTAACAATTAATTTTTTTCCAGATGCGGGGCTGTCATTGTTTGTTGCAAGCTGGAATCAGGAGGGGAATTACTTGATATCCACTGACCACATGTTCTACCTCTGCAAAGTAAACCTTACATAATGCTAGTTTAATTTTGTTTTCTCATGTATTTAACCAAGTGGTTGCTTCTATTATTTGGTGAATATATAAACACCGAGCCATATGCTTTTAATATGATCACACTTGGTAAGGTTGAAGTGGCTTATTTGGAAAGGTGAATCATTAATCAATGCTATTCAGACAGCCACTACCTATGTTTTCATTCTATAGAACTTCACAATAACTCGTTTGGGTGTTCCCTCCCACTCTTCCTTGGCTACAGGTAATCCCAGTATCAGAAGGTGAGAGGGTTAAGGTCAGAATTTAAGGAGCCATAAATCTACTAAAGTATATGAAGGGTTTAGAAGAAGATAATAAAAAGAGGTCAGTACCTCCCCCCAACCGAAAACAAGGACAATAAGAATCAAAAGTAGATGTTTGCTCACTTAAAGAAAGCTTCTTAGCTGGTTTTGTTGTTTGCTGAATTGCAGATCTATGCAGTGAAATTGCAGCACACTCACACCATTGAAGAGATCTCAAAATTCTCTCACCACTAACAAGAAGCATCATTAGTGGCTAGAGTATAATAAGAAATGTTTTCTTGGAGAAATAAACGAGTTGGGGGTCGCTAGACACTTGTAGTCATTTTATACAATACCAACTTCAGTATTAAGTGGAAGTAAAAAGAACCTACTGTAAAATTTCTTTACAGGAAAACTTATTGATCCACTAAATAGTCTTTGAGTGCAAACAACACTAAGGTTTCTTTAAAGACATGTCTGAAGAGACCAAACCATTGGTCTTGCAAACGTAAAGACCTTTTAACTCTACTTGGCTAATAACAGAACAGGCCTTGACCCTTCTGAAAAACATCTACTCGTATTTTAATATATAAATAAAAAAATAAAATAATAATAATAAAAAAAAAAATATATATATATATATCATCCATTCCGGTAAGGTTTTTTTTCTTTGTTCACAAGTTTGTTATTTTAGTCTCGGCTTTCTTTTCTCTAGTTATTATAGAATAGTGAATACACCCCTTGGCCTTCCTTAATAACTGTGCAAAAGCTGCAGCTTAGAGCAGATTGTTATTATTAAAAATATAGAAAGCTTTCTGAAACATACTCTTTTTTAAATTTGTTTAAAAGGAATGACTGGCATAACTTATTGTCAGACACCGGCATTTTCTCAAAAGGCAACAATATCACACACAACAAACTCAGAACTCAAAGTAGCGTTCCACACAAGCTTGCCGAAGTGCTCCACGTGTCTGTAGTCTTTCACATTTGCGACAGTTTCTAAAAATGCCAATTTCAATAGACTTTTTACCTTTTTTTTTGGCAGTGATTCACTCTAGAAATGCGGAGATGTATTTTTTTTTGTGTTATTTTATGGGCAGTTCACCAAGTTGTCAAAAACCAGCAAGAAAAAAAACTGCTACGACAGAATTCCTGACCCAAGATATAAAAGCTGTGTAAGTTGTGTATCTGTAGCATGCTTTTATCACGGTAACCTCAGAGGTGGTGCTAGCTGGTCCTAGCTAGTGTAAAATGTTAAGAAACTAATATGTTAACATCCCACTCCTCCTAATAATCCCAGATCCTGTGGGACCACCCTAAATTTAAACATAGATTCAGCTTTTCAGGCATGTTGCTTTACATGTGACACTGTAAAAATCAACAAGATTGCTACAAAGGGCATGTACACCAATAATGCTTTAACAGGCCTATGTGCATGTGTGCAGTTGTTGGTTGCCTGGTAACAAGCCTGTAAGTAGTTCTGAAGCACATTAATACCAGGCAGAAATGGTTCTCCACATATTGGGCAATATGGTTTTATCTATTACGTCCCTCTCATCATAACATTCACCACATTATATGGACCTGACAGAACCCACAAAATACTTTATTTACTGGAAAGCAAGTTACAAAATTTTGGCCAAAATGTCTAATTTGTTGGTCAATTTGAAACAATTTAAAATTTGGAAATAAATCTCAAAGAGAACATGGCTTTAAAAGAAAAAAAAAAAAAGACACAATTGCCTATTTGTTTAAGCAAATTGTCCATTAAGAACAGGGCAGCTCATTCTGGCTGTTTTAGATGAGTATTTTATAACATAAGTGTCAACAAATAGTGTTTACCTTTTAACCACCCCCAAACAAACAATAGAGAGAGCTCATAATTTGATACAGGTTTGATAAACGACATTAAATTCAGCAGCTTGCAATGTCAATCAACTTTCCAAAATCACATTATGTGAAAGACATTTCTGATTTGATATTCTACTGAAAATGATAAATACTGTTTCATATATTCCTGTTAACCACCTACCAGGTAACTACCTACCAAGTGTCCGTATACAGGAAGGCACAGCTAGAAGGTAAATAACAGAGGATGGTTTGACATGGCAGTGTCAAGACAGACGTTCCTTTAATATCAACCTGTTCTACTTGTGGAAAAGGGTATGTTGTTGAGGTACTGTTTACTTGTCACAGGCCGAGCTCACTGCCTGGTCAACAAATGTAAAAGGTATTCTCTCCTAGTTGTCAAAATCATATTACAGTCCGGACATTTCCAATGCCAACCTTTTTCCTGAGTACATCCACCAGTCGCTCCAACCTGCAAAACACCAATGTTGATTAGCTTAGTAATACAAAAGTTCCAAACATATATAACCATGTTAAACAATGTGAGTAAAAATAAAGATTATTTTAAAAAATGGTCTTGTTTTGTCTAAGTGCTATTTTTTGGCAAAGAGGAAATCTACCCTACACCCTCCCCCCAAAACATTGAGTACCCACATTATTTTTATATCTGCTCACATTTCATTTGCATCAAAAAATTCTTTCAGGTTGCGATTATAATGGATTAAAGGGAAATGGAAGATGTTACACTTCAACTATGAACTTAAAGGAACACTGTAGTCACCCAGCGCACTGTAAAGCATTGCAGAGTTAAGTTATCCTGCAGTGGCAGTCTGTATGACAGTCACTAGAGGTACTTCTGCAGCACTGACAGAGTAAAACTTGATGTGACGCAGAAGCCCCATAGAAAGCATTGATTTTGTGCTTTTTAATGGGGAAATTTAAATGCACATGTGGCAGTTCCCGTGCAAGCGCTCCAAGTCCCCATTGCTCATATAGGATTGGACTTCAGCAGTGCTGAGAGGTCCATGGCACTTTAAAGAATTACGTTTTAGTTACATTTTTAATGCACCAGGAAGGTGCGTGACCTGAAAAAGACAAGGGACAGTGTTTTTTTAAGGAGGAACTATTATCTTAAGGGTTAATTCAATAAACAGATGTTCATTTAACAACCAAACTGTGACAATTATGCTAAAACAGCTGATTTGGAAACACCTTTCACCTTAGCTTTGGTCACAGATTGGCAATGTTAGCCTGAATTACACAATACAGTTTTCAAATCAATACAGTTTGGTATAATGAGAAAAAAAACAAAACAAAACAAATTAAAACAACCTACTTAAGCAGTTTGACAAAACAAAAACAGGGTTCTCTATGCATTCAAAGTATGGCCATGTTTGCCACTGAGATGATGCAAATATTTCACTTTTATGTTATCTGTACAAATCGGTATAAATCTGGTCTGAAATGAAAGGCGTTGAGTCTTGCCGTGACTATAATGAAATAAAAGAGGAACTTCCAAGTTTTAGACCATCCCCTATTACAAATGTGTACGTGTGCATATTTGTCAAACTTGGAAAATAAGTCAATATTAATTTCCTCTCTGAACATTTGGGAAAATAGAGAAAAGAATAACAAAACTAAAAGATTAACAAACTCTTAAAGCAAACACAATAGCACTTTAAATTGAATATTGATTCATCGTTAAGTAAATCTCCTAGCTTAAAAATGAATTGAGCCTTACATTTCTGCTTAATATTTAAAACAGATTAATGTGTTATGGTTTATTCTCATATTGGGGTCACTGTATAAACTGCTGTGCTTCTGATTGCTTGATTACAGCAACGGGAAGACATGCAGAGACTGACATCCTAATCTCACCCCATATCCTCCTTAACAACTATGGAACACAAACTAAAATTACCCACTTTATGAAGGTTTAGCATATGGATGTATACGAATATTTATTAAAAAAAAATGATCATTTATGCTGTCACACAATAAAGCTGGTTGGATAAATCAAGATTTGAAGCAAGCACAGTCAATGGGCAATGCTGCTATGGCACTTCAAACCACATGTGGTCATCCCTACGGATTATTGAGTTCTGGTGTTTCAGTCTCATTGTACAGCGCTACGGAATTTGTTGGCGCTATATAAATAATAAAATAATAATAATAATTGTTGGTTTCAGCCTCACAGCCCCATTGCTAACAGGTGTATTAAATTCAGCATATAACGCTTAAAACTCCATAGACAAACACTGGCAGTGCAAAGGGACAAGAGCCCAGTCATGGAGTTGCTGACCACCTTTTGCATTATTCACTACACTTCAAACTGCTCCTGAAAGCAAAATCAGCACAAGAACTGTATATTAGGAGATTCATGAAATGGGCTTCCATAGCCGAGCGGCTATACACAAACTTCACATCAAAGCGTGTATGTCAAGCGTTGGCCAGAGTGTTATAAAGCCTGGTTTCTCAACCTGTGGTACGTGTATCCCAGGGGGTGCGGGCAGCAAAACCAGAGGTATGCCAGGAGCCATTGGCGGGACTAGAGGGTTCGTTGAGGTTGCGAGAGCAACTGGTCTCTCTGTGTTCTGCCTGCCAGGGGGTCCAGGAGCTGGCTGTGCGTGAGGGAGCAAAGCAGGAAGATCAGAGCAGTCACACACTGGACCCCAGGGAGAGAGCATCCACTCCAGCTCTCCCAAAGGTGCGGAGGCTGGGTGGACTTAAAATATAAAAACTAACAATAATTTGTGAATGAATGTGGATTAGAGTGTGTCTGTCTGTATGTGTATGTATTAATATGTGTATTAGATTAAACTGTATATAAAATCTGTGTATATTACGGAGCATTATTTTTCACCTATACATTGTGCCAGCAGAAATGCTAGCAAATGTATATATATTAATTTAATTTAAATATTTTAGAAAATATGGTCCCTCCTCCAGCTCCACATTAGACCTATTCCTATCAGTACTGAGGCAGGGGTAATTAGGAATTTTGTTTAGACATGCAGGGGCACTTCTCCATAAAAGGTTGAGAAACACTTCAGTAATCCATCTCCCCCACTGGACTCTGGAGCAGAGGAAATATGTTCTCTGGAGTGATTAATTACATTTCACTTTCAGGCAATCTGATGGAACAATGTGGGTGTTGAGGATGCCATGAGAAAGTTACCAGAATACATAATGCCTCATGTAGGAGGGATAATGGTTTTGGGGTTATTTTTCAGGAACTGCGCCATCTTAATGCTACAAGGTTGCAGCAATGCTTTCCTACGAGGAGGGCCTAGTGCGCTCGCCGCGCAGTACAGCTCTGTATTCCTTACACCAGGGATAGGCAACCTTTGGCACTCCAGATGTTGTGGACTACATCCCCCATAATGCTCTTACACACATAATGCAGGCAAAGCATCATGGGAGGTGTAGTCCAAAACATCTGGAGTGCCAAAGGGTGCCTATGCGTGGCTTACACTATACATTCCCTTTAATACAGTTGGGAGTTGTCTGTCATTTTCCGAGTTACAACCTTTCTGATTACTGCTTAGGACAAGCATTTCAAACTCAAAGGCTAACATGGGCCAAATAAACAAGGTTTAAAGGACCACTATAGTGCCAGGAAAACATACTCGTGCCCCCACCCTCAGAGTCCCACTCCCGTGGCGCTGAAGGGGGAGGAAGGGGTTAATCCCTTACCTTTTT